AAATATACTTACCTGCTCACTACACGTTACTTTAAGATATTTGTATTTATTCACAGAAACATATGAAATACATTGTGAAATATATTTGGGAAAAACTGCAGTGTTTTCAATCAATAATCTCACACAGAGAACATAATGGGAGATGGCAACAGTAGGCAGCACTAAATGTAAAAGAAAGTTTTCTTTGGCTGTTGCATTTTGGAAAATTCCAAAAAATGAATGTTACTGTGGTATGGACTCCGCTACTGTAGAAGAGCAGTGTTTACGATGTTTAATAAATTTGTTTTTTGTGAGTCTGGTGAGGTTTTTTTTTTTAAAGATACAACATGATTATAGCAGTAACATACGCAAGAATATTTATTTAATTTAAAAAGCTTTGCAGTGACTGACGCAAAAACATGATTCAAAAATTTAATTCAATTCAATTCAATTGAAAATACTTTATTCATCCCCGGGGGAGGGGGGGAATTTAAAATGTGTATTACGGGTCACATATCAACGACGAGGTAAAAGAAATGGATGTCAGGAAGTTACTGTACTTTGGCTAAAAGGGTCATTTTCATTCATCAATCTGGCACTATTATTATACCTATAAGGTCTGGTGTTTACTGGTCTAATGATTTTTGTAGTGGTTTATGTAGAATGATGTAGAAAAGGAGCCAATGTTACAGGGTATATTTTTCCAGGCACATGATTAATAATTAAATGAAGCTATTGTGGATAAATTAAAAATATATATTAATTATGTTTGGAGTGAGTTGGCCAAAACGTTTTTTACGCAGATTGATAAGGGCAGCAAGGAAAATGAAAGGTAGTTTGGTGGCCATCTTGATTTATAGGCAGGCATCTCTTTCACACATACTGTATCTATCTTTTTAGTATGGCTACTACACCATTACAGTTAAGAGTTAACTGACTAAGTATTTTTGAGCAGGAGCAGTTTATTTAGAAGGCCATGTCTTTCAACATAGTGCACAACCAATCAGAGGTGCAAAAAATTGCCTTGCAACTTTTGGTGCAACTTACAAACCTGGCAGAGCTTTCCCTTTTGATGTCTGCCAGGTTTCGATTGGTGTGGCGGCTCATACTCAGATAAAAAAATAAAAATTCTTACAGTCTCAGGCAGACTTCAGCCACTGCCTTGATGCCTAAACATGTATTGGTAAATATGTGTGTAAGCTTATTCATTTTTAAAATTGTCCAGAGTTTGGTTTTTCTGCACAAACTCTAGATCTTTACAAGTAAAAACATTTACATGTTTGTCTTAAATGATTGATCATTAACTGGAATACCTGGAAATAAATGGACAGATCAAGAACTGACAGTGACAAGTCAAATCTGAAAAATAGATCTGAAACCTCTTAGGGGTATATAGGCATCTACAAAAATGGCACTCCAGCAAAGAAATTCACAAATACATTTAAATGTTGACACAAAATAAAAAGACCAGAAAATATCACTTCCACATAACTACAAAAGATCACCTGATGGGTGAAAATCTCTGTTTTGGCAAAGAAATACTTTCCTAAGACAAAGCACAAAACAGTCAGTTGTACAATTAAGACACAAATTAAAGACGTGTCTGCATCTGATTATATTTGTAGCCCCAAATTACTGCGAAATCCTATGTCACAGGAGTTTTACACTTGGATATTACACTAGTTAACAGACCAATATACATCAAGCATCAATATAACAAATAATAAATCTAATATAATTTGTTTCAGATGTAGATGTGTTGAGTTGGTAATGTTATTTAAATGTTATGCTGCCACGTAAGATTTAATGTGGTGGCTCAAATGTCAAAGTACACATCACAAAATCACGGCTGAAAACATTAGTTGCGAAATGAGTTTCTCAGACCACCCTCAAAAAGTATCTGATGTGGTAGCAACACTGGTTGATATTCACTTGGTCCAAATAGAGGTTTTAATATCATTCAGATGGATGGTAAATGCTGCTGTTTTGAATGCCATGTGGTTCCTAATGATTCCAGATCAAGCTCTCTAGATCAGGGTATCAGCTGCGCAGATCTTTGAATCTAAGCCAAGATGAGTTACCCTGAAAGGCAGGGACAAAGTCAACCTGATAGACTTCTTCGGAATCAACAGTGAAACATGAACCAGAGGACAAGTAGAAACTAATCTGGAGCAACCCAGCCACGCTGTTAAGACAATACCCTGGCTTTTTTCAAAGAACAGCTGGATGGCAGTCAAGACAACTAGCTGGGCTGAAAGACCGCCTTCCAGTTGTAACCTTTCTTCTATTTTTAAGGTCTAATTGTTCACAGCAGCTCACAAAACGCGTAAGGTGAGAGCTTAATGTGAAAACTCAAATGCAGAACGTTTTTTACACATTTATTTACATGTGCTCTAAAAATCATACTGAACAAGTCCATGAGACAGCCCTGTTTGTACTGCTAATTGATTGTAATTAAACTACAAACATCTGAATCAGGGATGTGATATAATGAAAATCACTCTTCAAAATGCATGCTTAACATTTGCTAAATGATATTGCATTGCAGTCAAATGTTTATTTTATACAATAATTATTAGCCATAACGTCAGCTTGTTTTTTGCCATTGAAAAGACAGCATCTGTATTCCAGGAGGGAATGGTACAACAAGAAAGCTGTGAATGAAGTTCTGCCTCAATGCATGCTCTACGGTACTTTCTCAGTGCTAAAAACATTAACATTGCGTTCATAATTTTAATTAAAATGATTTTGATAAAATATAGATTTTTTTTTAATCCAGCATTAGAAAGAAAATAAATCACACGTCTACATCTGTCTATTGTGTGTGTATTATGCACACCTTCCTGTACAGTCCTAAGGGCATATATCAATAATCTCCTTCGCAGATGTCTGAGTTCAGCCAAATACTTCCAATATTTCAAGGAAAGATTTATCCCTAAAGTTTTACAAATTAGTCTTAACCTTATTCTTAGTCTTAACTTTCCTCTTCCTCTTTTTCTTCCTCTTGTTCTTCATGTTCTTCTTGTTCTTGCTTCTGTTCGTCATCTTGTTCTTCCTCTTGGTCTTTTCTTGTTCTTGTTCTTGATCTTATTCTCATTCGCGTTGTAGAAAAGAGAACAAAACAGCTTATGGGGAAATTGGGCAAAACAGTACAGCTGTATTATACAGGGTGTTAAAAGACAAAAGAGAAAACAACCTCTCAAAAAGACACACCCTACATTTAAGCAAACTCTGTGGCTTTACTTCAGTAGAATACAATTTCTCTGCAGTAAAGTTTCCACAAAATACACAAGCTGTACTTTTTTTTTCTTTTAAGAAAGTTGTAAACATTTAATTGGGTTCATAATAAGCTCTAGGTAATAAATCGAAGCTGCCTGTGTGTGTTTGTGTGTGGTTGAAGGGTGGAGTATTAAACAATGGCTACAAATACATTAAATATGCACTAATCTTTGGGGGCAGAGATCACACAACATTACCTCTGGGACTGAGACTCAGCCAGCTCCTTTTATAATTAATATATAAAACCCTGAATAAACTATTTTCAGTGCAGAGAGAAAGAAAAACCCACACAGAGTTGCTGTTTGTTTGCCAACTGTGTCTTGCTGATGGTTACAATTCAGTAATCATAAGCAGATGTTCATTAATGAGTTTTTAAAAGATCTCAGGGAATGAGCTGTGCAGGAGCTCAGAGTGGTCTGATCTAAGCCTGGCTGGGACCAAATAGTCGACATGATAAGAAGAGTAACAATAAATACCATCTGAATCTGAAGACACAGATAGAAAGTAACCTTCTATATCAGGAGTCCCCAGTCCAGGTCTTGGAGGGCTGATGTCTCTCTAGGTTTTTGAAGTCTCTATAACATGAGCAACACATGGATAGCTGGGAGAAGCTGTTAAAATGGTGCAATGAAGTAAATAATGAGCCAATAAATATTGTGAAAAGTTCTACTGCACTGAATATCCTGTAGATACACAGTCCCTTTAGGACTAGGATTAAAGACCCTTGGTTTATGGCACCACTGCATTTTAATATTTACATATTAAATACCCCATTTAACTCATTTGGCTGATTTTGGCTCCTATCATTTGTAAGCTTTATGATCCGAGAATTTCATTCAGCCGTTTCTTGGATAAAGCAGTGCTATCAGCTTCATAACTGGACAGCTTGTTCCAGACTCCCAGAATGCTTGTTCAAAGAAGCACGGCTTGTTTTAAAGTGCTAAAAGTACACCTTTAACAACACCATGTCTCCAAACATTCTGCTTTTGCTTTTTTCCCAAAATTGTCTAGGAGACATAAATTACGTTTCAGCATAAACATCGGTCTTCTAATGAAAATTGTTCGGTGTTCCTGATCTTCAAAAGTACTTGTAATGTTTCAAGACAACACATTTACTCAATGAAATTGTTTCAAATTGTTGATGGAACCTTCTTCAACGTTCACACAACTGAAGAAGGCTCCACAGCCGTAATGTTTTCAGCATGAAATTGTTTATCTCTGGTTAAGAAAACTATATAAGAACGTAAAATGATAAGAATGCCTTTTGGCTAATCTTGCTTAAGAAGTCTTTTAAATAAGCCTTACAAATGTAATTAAATAGCAGTGTTCA